CCTGCAGAGTTCACCTCCCTGTCTCTCCCTGTCTGTCGTAGTGTGTGGGAGCCCACCTGTCTCAACCATTAACCCAGCCTACTCTGGGATATGACACCCTGTTGAAGCACCAAGGGCCAATACACGAGCTTTAGGTGGATGAGTCAGAGACCAAAAAAAAAGAAAGAAAGAATGTGAGAGGGAAAAAAAGACCCACCTTTCAAAGCTCTGAGCTTGTGGCTGATATGGGAATAGAAGATGGGCTGTGCAACGCGGCCTTTGATCTGTTTTTATTGTGGCAAACCCTTCAAGGTACACGGTACAGGTACATTTCATTGCTTCGTGACACACGTGCTCGGCGTTTATTACCATACGTACCTACATGTGAGTAAAGTGGGAGTCACTCTTGCCTTTGAGCTTGCGGAGCAGACGTAAAGGGATAAATAGGGCGTTTGGTATGTGTAAGTGGTGGCACTAAATGCACCAGGAATCTGTGCTTCTAGTGAAAAGGAGAAAAATGGGTTGCATTTGTCCCTTTCAGTCTTGGCTATCATGTTCTAAAAACTGGCAAGTCTTGAAAGAGGAAGAAGAGAAAAGTAGATGGAGATTAGAGAAAGGTTTAGAAGAAGCAGACAGAAAGGAGCGAGGGCTGGGAGTGAGGGAAGAGGAAGGAGATGAAGCAGAAGAGGGGACTGAGAGGCTCTCATCTGTGAAGGAAGAGCCCACAGTGCATTAGCTATTCTGTATGAACACACACATATATGCACACACAGACACTTACACACACACGTGCAAAGATGAGTCACTATCAGGAAAGAAGGGGAAAATAAGTGAATGAATGGTGCTAAGTGCAGTGTGTTACTCTGAGACATTTTGGCTTGGTATTTTTGCACCACCACGTCTCAGAACAGACTGTTTAAGCTCGCAGATCAAACTTCTGTGTGTGTGCGTGCGTGCAGTCTCTTATGTGTGCTTGCTTAGATGTCCAACAATGACTTAGTTGTGTGTGTGTGCTCAGATTTAAGCGCATTAGAAAAAGCAGCAGTACAAATGAGATCTTACATCAACAGCCTGTGGGGGGCCTGAGCTGAGAGAAACTGTGCCTGCAGCTCTTCACTGTTATCACTAAGACACCAGGCAGAACAATGACAGCGTGCTCTCGCACAAATATTCATAGATAATATTATAACAATAGAGCAGCCTTCTTACTTAAAGGGCAATATCGCTGCTTTCTCACAGTTTAGTCCATTGACTGATAATTGCAACTGTCTAACATGACTGCTAGTGAAAGCATACTGCAGGATTTTGATTGATTTGCTATAGTTCAGGCTGAAATAGACCTGAATAAGATAGATAATCCATCACGCTGAACAAGTTACATCATGCCAATTGTTTCTTGCATAACCCCTTATACACCTTTTTAATGCCTCGTGTGGGTTTAATGGTGGCTCTTCCTCTGCGCAGGCCTGCGGAGCGCTCGGGAGAGGACGTGGATATTATTCTGACCCGACTAAGAGAGGTCAAAGCCTTCCAGAGGTTCCCACCTCCGCTCCTACTGCAGATCTGTGCCTGTGCCTTTTATGAATGCCTGGAGAAAGGCATCACGTGTACGTACACGCACGCTCACAAACCCACAATACTGACAGGAATGTAAAAGGATGTCTTTGATGCTGTCGAGTTTAGTCAGGCTCTAAAGGATTGGAGGAAATCATCATACAGTATATAATATACCTTTTTGTCTCCTAAGGAGAAAGCGCAGTAAGACTTACGATGCACTGGAATGCAAAAATGTGCCTAACCTTCTTCAATGCCTGTTTTTAACTAATTTGTGCAATACTAATATTAATATTATTAATTGTTCCTTGTATTTGCTTTTACTTTTGCTTATGTTGCCTCATCCTCTGTGATTTAGTTCAACTGTGTATCATTTTCCCTAGCTCTCTCCACTTCCCTGATACCACTATATAAGTATAAGTATACTATAAGTATACGATATACTTACAGGAGTAAGTATATACAGTGGCATCCTCCCAATACTCTGTTCCTCTTGCCCTACTGTTTCCTGGATTCAGTCTGTTTTATATGTTTTCCTTTTGGACTTCATGCTTTGTCTTTTTGATTTTTCTGCAAGCAGTGGATTTTAAATCAATCAGCCAATATGTGATTGAAGCACAGCTTTAATTCAATGGGTTTAACAAAAATATTGTGTCAGCTGTTTAGGAATTACAGATGTTTTTTATTCACAGTCCCCCGTTTTCAGAGGCTCAAAATTAATTGGACAGTCCACCGAAAAGCAGTTTCATGGCCAAGTAGGGCCTGTTCATGTAATTTCATGACAAATTAAACAGACATAATATCTGGATTTGATTAAAAGTCTTGAATTTGCATTTTATAGCTTTTCACATTCATTTTAAATATGAAGCCCAAAGAGATGTCAGTGCCAGTGAGGGAGGCCATCATTAGCTTTATTTTGTTTTGCTTTGTCTGTCAGAGTGATAGAAAAAACTTTAGGGGTAGCCAAAGTATTAATGTGGTGTATTCTTAAAAAGGAGGACTGCAACGACCAGCTCAGGATACCGAAAGGCCTAAAAGACCACAGAGGGCAATTAAAATGGATTATGATAGAAGTATTTCTATGGTTAAAGCTTCTGTTATACTTCCTGCGTCCATGAGTCTGAGAGAGTCCAAGTGATTTAAGCAAATTTCATCAGAAGATGAGCGCAAGGGTCCGTGTATGCATCCTGCCTGTTTTTTGTGACTGGGTCTCCAGCTGCCTGTGTCTGTATTCACAATGGATTATAATCAAGGCTTATGAAAAACAACTTCTAGCCAAGTCAAGGACACTCCTGAGGAATAGGTGTATCATCTAAAAAATGTTAGGGCATGGGTACATAAGGCTGACAGTGGAACTGGGTCACTATAGTGTTTATTGATGGTGAGACTGCTGATAGATGATAGAAGCAGCAGGATGACCTGTGAAGTGTACATGGCTGTACTCTCTGCTCAGATTTAGAAAAATGCTGCAAAACTGACCCGACAGTGCAAATAGATAATGAAACAAAGCATACTGCAGAAGCAACCCAAGAGTTTCTCAATGCAAAGAAACTGGATATTCTTCACGGGCCAGGTTAGTCACATGATCTCAACACAACAGCGCATGCTTTACAGTTGCTGGAGACTTTTAAGTCATAGAGAGAGCCACAAACAAGCAGCAACAGAAGGTGGTTGCAGCAAAGACCTAAGCAGAGCATTGAAGGGAGGAAATACAGCATTTGGTGACATCCATGGATTGTAGACTTCACACAGTCACTGACTGCAAAGGATTTTCATCCAAGTGTTAAAAACAATCCTTGGGTTTAAAATCCTGTTAGTTTGTCCAATTAATTCTATATAAGTCTATGAAATTGGGGGATTATAAATAAAAATGTCTTTTTACCGTTAATGCAAATTAAAGCTGAGAGTCTGCACTTCAGTCATACCACGACTGATTGATTTAAGATTGACTGCAGTGACGTAGAGAAGCAAAACTGCAAAAATTGTGTCTTTGTCTAACAAATTGTGGACCTATATCCAATATACTACTTATAGTAGTGTAATTTAATGATCACAAAATCAAGACAATATTTAATGTAGCTACTTTAACACCAGCGTTTTGTCAGCGTTTTGCTTACTTGAACTCAAGTCAATTTATTTTCAGTTAAAGATAAAAATATTTAAAACGCTTTCCTTTATAGGTGCATTTTTAACCTTTTCAAACACATTTCAGTTTATTGCAAATATATTTATCATCAATTTATCATTGTATCAAAACCTTTTTGGATGATGTCTCTTTCAGCAATGATTGTGGTTTATCATCAGATGGCAGGGCATGTTTTTATGAGTGCTTTTGTCTTAGTGATGTTTTTCATCAGCTCTCAATGTGGTTTAATGTATTTTACTGCACGCAGTGTTTCGACAGGGAGACATTGGCACCAGCTGGTATGCAGTCCTTTCTGGCTCCCTGGATGTCAAAGTGTCAGAAACCGCTAACCACCAGGTGAGAGTCACATTGAGAAACATACATGAATAATGACTTGGATGCTTTTGGATTGGTAATGTTACTTTCATGGTTGATATTTCCTAGTGCTCTCATATATTTTCTATCAAACAAGATCCTTTTTAAGGGGCTTCGACTCTGTCCTGTATGTTTGAGAGCTGAATTTGTTTGACTCTTTAGCCTCCATTTGTGCCTCCCTTCCTAAATATACCAGAGCGAAACTGCCACTGAGAAATTTGGCTTCCTCCTTACTTTAAACCCTCTCTGTGAGAGCGTGGAAATAGAGTTATACTATACATGTAGTGGGGAAGAATGACACGTGGGAGGAGAAGGAGAGAGGATTTGCTTCGAAAGAAAGACGGCGATAAGAAGCTCCTCTATTGTGAGACGTCCTTTTCATGTATGTAGCCCTAAAGTGAAATTGGTGGCCTACTTTCTGTGGCTATATTTGAAATGTCAGTTTGGACAGCTGAAAAGGTTTCCATAGCAAGCAGTGTATTTGTTTGAACCACTAAGCAGTGAATATGCGTCCATTGCTTCCCTCTAGCCTGCCCAATTATATACAGCACCAAGAGATGTTTGTCTTACAGTAAACAGCAGTTGCTCATATTTGGATTTATTTGCATTCATTTGCACATATTAATCCGTCTGCTTTACATGTCTGTCCGAGTTCATTAAAATAACCTAATACACATTGCTTGTAGCTACTGCTGTATAATTTCACTGCTTTGTAGCAGCATAGTGAATGCTGCTACAAAGCATGTTTGCTCAATAACAAATGCTCGTCTGTTATAGAAACACAGTAACTAAAAGTTGTCATGTCTGTGTGCAGGATGCAGTCACAATCTGCACGCTGGGGATTGGGACAGCCTTTGGGGAGTCGATCCTGGACAACACGCCGCGCCACGCTACCATTGTCAGCAGAGAGACCAGCGAGCTGCTCCGGATCGAACAGAGGGAGTTTAAGACTCTCTGGGAGGTGTGACATGAGATGAAACTTCATGATTCTGCATGAACTCCATTGTGGAAAGAGCTTTGCTTTTGAGACTTTTATTGTAATTGTGCTTTTAACCACAAGAGGGCTGTCCACCATTACGGTGCCTTTTTGCACATCTATTGCACACTTCGGGTAACTTGACAGTGATTTATTTAAAGTGAGAACAGTGAGAAAAATCTAAACACGATTAGTTAAATGATTCCTTTTTTATTTCTTTTAATTGGATTCACATTTCCTACTTGGAAAAATAAAGGTATTCTCAGATTTCCTTTAGCCTATAAATTAATAACAAAATATTTTAATTCTGAGAATTATTAAAACGATGATTTTAAGGACATTTTAAATGCAATCTAAATGTTGTTAAGCTGCTGTAGAGAGGTTAATCTGTTTGAATTGGTACAATTTTTTAATGTATATGCATAATAGTTTTGGTTTCTTAAACTAACAAACTATAAAACTATGTAAAACTAACTATAAAGTCCCAAAAATGCCATTACATTTTCTGTTTAGGCAGGTTACACAGATTCCTGCAATAACAAGGCCGCAAACAAAAGGACGTACTGTAATTCAGTGATCTCTATCTGCATGTCTGAAATACAGTTTTCTGCCTCGGATGAACTGTCACATTTCTCCAGTGAGGCAGCCATCAAAACAAAAAGCCCAAGGACAATTCTTTTAAGAAACCAGAAGATGCTTACGAAGTTTTCAGAGTATGTTTTCCCTTAAAAAGTGATTTACGCAGCTTGTGTGGAGTTTGCATGCTCTCCTTGTGTACTGCATGGATTCTCTCCTGACATGCTGGCTTCCTACCACAGCACATTACATGCACAGGAGGTCAAGGGATGTGAATGTGAGTGTGGTTGTCTGTCTTTGTGTCTTGGTCCAGGGTGTTTCTCCTTCTTTTGCAAAGTGACAGCTAGGATAGGCTGTAGCCATAATACCATATACTGTATATTCAGTAACTAAATAATGAGTGGTAATGTGATAATATATACAATCTTATTTTACACTCTCATCTAAGCTGAGTATTCATAAAGATATTTAAACATGAAAAGATCATACACAAGAAGCTATACACTAGGCAAGGGAAATGATATTGATATTACTGTGCAAAAGTCTTGAGCCACCCCTTATTTATTTATTTATGTAAGGAGCCAGATTATTTTCCAGTTGTTAAATTGAGACTTTCTGAAGTTCTTTGAACGTTTTTTCTTTGGTTATTGGCTGCTTTTTTTTAAAAAATTTTTAAAATTCACTCTCAGTCCAGTCCTTTTACTATTTCCATGTTTTTTTCTTTGTTTGTTAAGAATAAGAATCAAGTACATGAAGTATTAAAAAAGCAGTGAACTCAATGAATGAATCAGTGTTGTGTCAAAATACAACTTAGCAAAGAATCTATTTTAAATGCTATGTTTGGGCAAATAGCAAAAATTAGCATTAGCATTTTTGCACCAATAAAGTGACTCCAATGAGGTATTAGCTGAAATCTTGGTAAATCTTAGCCTGGTGGGAAATTTGTCCTTAAGAAATTTTGAGGAAACTGGACAAGTGGAGGACTAAAGAAGAAGTGGAAGGCTTAAACTATAGATATGTTTTATTATAGGAAAGTCATGTCCTTAAGAACAAATATGTCAAAAACTTGGCGCAGGACCAGAGAGATGCTTCAGACCCTTCAGCTGAGTTATCTGCAGCTTCATCAGAAATGATCTAAGAGAAGGAGAAGGTAAGTCAAGAAGTTATTCTTCAGGAAGGGAAACAGGAAAATTAAGCTGAAGTATGCCAACTTACAGAAGAACATGGTGGAGGCTCTGGCATTGTTTTGGGGCTGCATTTCAGCCAGTGGTGTGGGGATCTTGTCAGCACTGATGGAATTATTAAAACTGAAAAGAATCATCAGATTTCAATGCAACAGCAATAGCAAGTAATAGATTTGGTAATACCAGATATTGAGCTTTGATCTCATTATAGTACTGTGCGAAAGTTTTAGGCAAGTGTGGAAAAAAAAGCTGTAAACAAAGAATGCTTTCAGAAATATGAATGGTTGTTTATTGGCCCCAAATGTATTCTGCAGCAGAACGACGACCCCAAACAGGCAGCCGAAGTCATTATCAAGTATCTTTAGTGTAAAGATGAACAAAAGGTACTGAAAGTGATGGTTTGTTGTTTGATGTGTGTGTGCGTGTGGCATTTTATTGTGTGACCCTCCTGCGTCAGCTTTGTGTGCTTTATAAATAAAATAAAAATATGATTTGATAACAAATGATGTAAAAGCTCACAATCAGTTGCAAAGACTTACTATATCGCACAACCTACTAGTACGAACACTCACACAGCCTTGCCCCGAGAGATTTGGCTTTGTAGTAGATGCCTCTCCGTGGGCCTCCTTGTTGGAGTTACAAGCTCCATTCACTGTTTCTCTCTCAGAGAGGAAGTCGTGGCAGAGCTGGGCAGCACTTCACTGTAACCTCACAATGAAAGGCTGTGTGGTCTGAGCTGCTGTTTGGTCTGACAGGTGGTTATTTTGTATTGCAGAATCCAGAATCTTTCCGACCCACACTATGGTTCTCATCTCCATACAGTGATTGTGAGAAAACAGTAGTTTTTTTTTTGATGGTTCTTATTTTTAATGAAATTGCAGGTAATTGACAGTTTGGTTATAAAAAATAACTATTTTCTGTCTGGTGTTTTTTGGCTTTTAAATCAGATTTTATGACCCCTCTCACAAACAATTTTATCGATCACATTGTTTTGATTTATCTGGTCTAAAAAAATAAAAAAGACTTTTCCCCGTGTGACCGTGGATGAATTGAAATTCAATTTACTCAAATGTGATTCCTCCATTTTTGTGCTACAGGAACACATGAGACCTAGATAAGACAATAATTGGTTATTAAAGTGACGTGTGCCATCGTATTATTCAGCTCGTAGAGTGTGTGTGCGTGTGTTTTTGACTAAGTGCACTCTGTCTCCCTCTCGACTGTCTATTTTAAGGACAGTGGACATAAAACAGAAAACATGGCCTGAGGTTGTTGTCTTTTGTTTGTTTTGTTTTTTTCCTAATCTTATCTCCAAAATATGGCTCTCTGTGTTTTGTGTGTGTGCCCGTGTGCAAGGACTAATTTGTGTACGTGTGCTTGTGGTGGAGACTAAAAATCTACAGGATGTGTTTCATGAAAGGATGAAAGAAAAAAAGGGCTGCTCCATAATTCTAGTAAAATCGAGATCAAAAAAGTGTTTGAATGGGAAATAGCCTACAGACATGTTTTTATATGTAACAATTACTGCTAATAATTAGTTTGTCTGGACTGTGGTTACTTCATTTCTCTTTTCTGATTTATTCCTGTGCCCCTTTTCACCTGCTCTACATTTCTAATGCCAGCTTCCCCTCTCTTCTATTGGCCACGTTTCTTTTGTTAGCCTCCTTCCTTTCCTCCTCCTCTTCAACACTACTTCTGCCTTTCCCTTTTCTGACTACTAACCCCTTTTCCTACACTAGAGTAGCTCAGTAATACAGAGACTCGAATCACCCTGGTAACCTGTGAGAGAAAGTGGCTTGGTTCCTGGCGTGATCGCAGTGAGAGAGGGTGAGTGAGACGGAGGCAGACAGTGGGGCGACTGTGTGAGTGGAAGGGAGGAAGAGAGAGGGGAGAAAAAAAGGAAGAGAGCAGCTTGTTTTGAGCAGGATGCTATCCGGTGGCGTGTGCGTGAGTTGTAAAGGAGCAGAGGGCAGCTCTCTGGGGTTTCAGTCCCTTCAGTCTTAAGCAGCTGAGTGTGTTAACTCAGGTGAGTCGGACTCCTTGACTTTAACTGTGTCTAGTATGTAGTGTGCATAATCTTTGCTTGTATGTTTTTTTTTCTGTTGTTGTCTTTTTACAGAATGAAACTCTCTGGAATCCCGTTTGTGCATTTTTTAGTATTGACATGAAGTGTTCTAGCTTCACTAGCTTCTGGATCGAGCGTGTGCAAGAAAAACACGGATAGGGGAGCGTTTGTGTCTTTAGGTCAAACAGATGCTCTCTCTGTTTCTCTTCCAGTGTGTGTGTGTATTCCTGGCAGTTGTCAGAAAGCATGGGTTGCTTGATAATGACCTTGCAGAAGAGCAGTGGCACATTCAGACACAAAAGCTCTGGCTCTGTGTGTTTCATAGTCTTTGCTACAGAAATGTACAACTGTAAGAACAGCATCTGCACACATCAAAGCAGTCTAACCCTTGTTTACATGCTGTGTGTGTGTGTGTGTGTGTGTATTATATAATGTTGTTCTGCATGTAAATGATCTTGGTTGTACAAAGGGCTTTGTTTTGAGGGGCGCTTTTGTGTTCAAGCAACATTGTGCGCTTTAGCGAGAGAGAGATGGAACAGGAATGGGTTTTGATGTTTAAAAGATGTTGGTGCTTTATAGATGATACCCTGCTAGAGGTGTTTCCAAGACTGATGTGGCCTCTGATGTGTGTTGCTTTTTAGAAGTATCGTCAGAGCCTGGCTGCACTGTTGGCCCCTCCTTATGGAGCCATGGAGAGTGGATCCAACAATGACAGTGAGTAGATGCACAAGTGGACACACGGGAATAGAAAAAGACACTCTGGGTGTTGCTTAAATGTTTATTCAATGAACGTTTTTACGCGTACAAACATATTGCAAGTAATAAATTGGAAATGTGCAGCAGATGCACAAAAAAAGATGGAGACTTCTGTATGATGACTAAAAACAGGAAGCAGGTCTTTTCCTTCCCAGCCTGTTAAAAGGATGGATGAGTCTATATTGTGTATATGTAAATATAAAATTGTTATGTTTCTTTTTTTCTAGTTGATATACAGTGCTTTTTTGCTTTTGGGAAGCAGAGCATCCTGTTGTGCTTTAGCATTAATGTGTTTTTCTCCTCAGGACTCACAGACAAAGACAACATGAATTCAGACTCTGCAAACAAAGCTCACAACAAGGTAAATGTTTCCTCTGGATTACATTTTCAACCTAAATGAAGTTCTTAGATTAGTTTACTGTAACTAAAAAATGAGAAACAGACCCGGCCTTAAGTTACAGAAAGCATGACTTAACAAAACTCTAGACCATCATAACCTGACTAAAAAACCCACTTTTGTCACTGCTTGTCAAAATATCTCTAAGCAGAAGTTTCTAGACAAATTTAGAACAGCTGAGCAGTAGTTGTGTATTTTTTTAATGTTTGAAGCAATGCTATTAATGCATTTTGAACTTAAATATTTTTCAGGTTAAAACCTTTATATATTTAAATGTGCAGTTAAGACTCTTGTTTTTCCATTTTCCCAGTTTTCGAGCCACTGTTTGCAACTTGAAGGGTAGATACATAAAAACCTGATAGTGATCATAATTGAAATTAAAAAGATGCAGTTAATTCAAATACGTAAGTAAAATAAGTAAAAATAAGTAATCATTACATCAGCTCAATGTTTTGTTTTTGTTAACATCCGAAACTGAAAGTAACTTGAATATTTCTTGGATACGTGTGGTAAACCGGGCCACGGGGTAGAATCGAGCTGTTTTTAACGCTGCATACTTTCATGTTTGTGAATGAACCAGAGTGCCAGAATGAATTTTGGAAGTGCGTGTATTTTCTGAGGAGAGACCGATGATGACTCACAGCTGTGATGCTCTGTAGTTATGCTAATGTTAGATAATGCATGCACACAGAAGAAAGATCCCATCTGCCCAATTAAAATGCCTTCCTTTGTTGTTTTCAGAAGCAGATGTGTATGTGTATGTGTGTGTGTACACACATCTGTCATTTCCCCTGCTGTCTATGCAGGTGCGGCCGATAAAGGATGTGTCTGCTTGTATGTGTTGTGTGTTTTGATACAGTTTTACTGTTTGAGTGATCCATAGTTTACATGAGCAGCATTCAGAATCTGCCCATGTACACATTCACATATCGCTGTAAGAAAAAAATTGTGAATTATTTGGAATTTTTTGCATTGATTAAACATAAAACCTGAGCTGATCTTTGTCTAAATCATGATTATAGACACGCAATATAAGCAAACTGATGTCAGGCATTTTTTGCACACACAACAAGGCTACTGAATTCTAAGTGCTACTTGTTCTGTGCTACTCAAAATCAGATTCTCAATTAATGAGATTTTAACTGTGAAGCATGGCGGAGGGAGCATCATGTTAGGGCCTAATTTGCTAGCTGAACGCTTGGTCGGCTTGCCGGCATTGAGGGGAACAGGAAGGAATTAAAAATGTTATTACTAAAAGTTTTACACGAGAATGTGAGGGCGGTAGGCCATGACATGACACTACAATGTGCAGTCAACCATTTTTAAATTTCTTTTATTTAACAGAAAAAAGAACATTGTACTCATAAATATATTTGATCAGTGTGTGATTATGTCCAAAAAACAGATGCATTGTCATAAAATTAGAATTAAATCATTAAAAATACATAAAGGTGGGCAATGGTTTGTGGAAGCCGCCATGTTGCCCAGCTGTCCTGAATACAGTGGCCAGGATGGACATCGCCATCCTGAATAATTGCATTTTATACACATACACATATACATATACATATACATATGTAGCACAACAAAGGTAGAGGAAAAGAGAAGTCGTAGGCATTGTGTCATAGAGTTGTGTATGATTATGTATTTAAATAGGGAGGGGTAAGAAACCAGAAGTCAGTTAACAGAAATCTGTGGACATCTATTGGTGATATTTTAAACACTCTAACTTTAAGGTTGAGTACTGCATCAATACAATGTACCAAAATACAAAGGTAAGTCAACATCAGAGTGCTTTAACAAGAGGAGAATTTATCTGTTGGAATACTCGTGTTCTGATCTTAAGCAAACTGAGATTTTGTGGCTGTTTAACCAAAATGTCCCATAAATATCGATGAGCAAGAGCAGTTTTATGGGCGCGAGGCTCCAAAATGACTCTTCATCACCGTGCAGAAGCTACAGGAAACATCAGACGGTTATTGTTGCTGCTAAACAAGTTACTAAATTCATTTCATTTCCTGGCGTGCACTGTGATTGACAACTTAGTGTATCCAATAAAGAAACAACTGTGGATTCTTACTTGAGTCAGATTGCGATCGGACCACAATCCTGGATAAATAATGGTTCCCAAACTTCTTCTTGCCAACACACACCACTTAAAGCTTGACCAACAAAATTAACAATCAAATGATGCATTCTATCACAGCCTAATTTACAAAAAAATCTCAACCTAGTCAGTCAGAGATTTAGATGGACTAGATGAAGTCACCTAAGCCGATGTCCCTGTGTTCTGCAGATCCCCTCAGAGAAGCTGCAGAGAGCTGGAAAGGTTCTCCGCAACGCCATCCTGTCCAGAGCCCCTCACATGATTCGAGACAGGAAGTATCACCTGAAGACATACAGGTATGTGGGTCTGCAGTTCTGTTTGTATTTCTGAAAAATTATGTGCTTGCAAGTGCTTGGGGAAGCTTTCTGTGGATGTTTTGTTGATTTACAGAAAATTACATTAAGTATTTTTAAACCTCCCCACAGTAAATATACAGTAAACAGTGTGTTTACATGTGTATTGCAGACAGTGCTGTGTAGGCACAGAGCTGGTGGACTGGCTGGTGCTGCAGAGCGCCTGTGTGCTCACTCGCTCCCATGCTGTCGGGATGTGGCAGGCACTACTAGAAGAAGGGGTGCTAAATCATGGTAATACTTAAGTCTGATGTTTCTCATCATGCATATCTTTGGGTTCATTTCTTTCCGTGAGTCATCTTAACCTACTAAGTCAATTCCCAAACCTCAAAGCAGCTGAAAAGCTGGGAGACGTTATTCACACTCCATGCGTAACTTATCGTTTAGAGCGTAAATTAGAATAAAGTGTTATTGAAACTTTGAATTGCAAATTAGTTTTAGACTAGAGCCAGTGTGTCTCCATTTGGCTCTGCGCTGGAATGTGAGTTTTGAATCTAAACATCAATCATCAGGGAGGCTTTCTCTTTGAATGCTAGAGTAAGAATTAATGAGTTTCCAAGCATGAATATAACATATAAATTGAATCCAATCTCAAAGTCCTTCACTTCAAAGAACAAGGCTGAAATGTTCTGAGATGAGAAAACAGTTCATCTGCATGCACGCTCGTTTATACTGATGCTTTGACTGTGTGTGCTTCTCTGCTCTCCAGTGGACCAGGAGCTCGGTTTCTATGACAAATACCTCTTCTACCGTTTTCTTGACGATGAGGAGGAGGACACACCATTACCTAGTGAGGAGGAGAAGAGGGAAAGTGAGGAAGAGTTGCCGGAGACCATCCTCTTTCTTGCCCAGATTGGCCCCGATGCACTGCTGCGCATGATCCTCAGGAAATCGTCAGTATTATCATTTACTCTTGAAATACAGATTCAAAATACATTAAAAGCAACAATATCTGGCAATATATTGTTGCTTTTTATCCAATAATTAACATTCCCCTCCGATACCAGAGTGCTGAAGTGTTCGCTAATTGAACCCAGTCATATCCAGTCATACCAATATTCTCCATATAAAGTACTAAGCATGTGAAAGAATAGGCAGAGATCATCTGTCATAAGTAACTTTATTGATGTGCATGCATGAAGTGTTTATGGTGACTGCATTGTGACTCGCTCCTTTGTGTCTGCAGGCCTGGTCAGAGAACAGGCGATGACCTAGAGATCATCTATGACGAGCTGCTTCACATCAAGGCCTTAGCTCACCTCTCCAACACTGTGAGTTAGCTGGTGTGCCACTCTTTTACATACAGTACAAGATGCCAAGAACATTGTTAATACATCAGAACCCCACATCACAATCTTTTTATGTTTAAAAATGGAAGAAGAAGAAGCTGTTATACTATTTATCTCGACAGTGTGGTGCTCAGTCTGTCCTGTGCTCGCAGGCGTTTTCCATGCGCAGAATTAATTAAATGTGTACTGGCTCCAGAAGTACTTTTGTTGTTCTTTTTTTTCATTTATGCAATCACATTACTGCCACGTGGAAATGTGTATTATACCATTAATAGGTCTGTAATAACTACAGAGATTATATTGGCAACAGTAATTTACCTACTTTCAGGTCACTTTTTATAACCTTTAAAAACCTTGATCTGGGCATCTTCTTGTTTAGTTTCCATTTTTGTCTGCAGGGCAGCAAAATCCAAGAGTTTTGAAGCAGTTTGTTTTGGTTTGCAGGTGAAGAGGGAACTGGCGAGTGTGGTGATCTTTGAGTCACATGCAAAAGCTGGAACTGTGTGTGAGTCTTCTTCTGTCACAGAATACATTTTTCCTTCTGTAAAAAGGTCTTTCAGCCTGTCAGACAGTGCTGGTCCCCTGTGAGGACAAGTTGAGGCAACTGAACTGAACCATCCATTTTAAAAAGGAGATCTAAGATTACTCCAGACAAAGTATTTATAGAACAGCGCAGAAAAAGTTGCATAGATCAGTTTTTAAATTTCCATTAGTGCTATTGATTGCAGTGCAGTCTTAATGTGTATCTATCTTTTAGCAGCTGGAGCATGCTTATAGAAACAGCCATCAGTGGATTACTCAGTAACACTTTATAATTCGGCCTGTGACTAATTGTCCTGTAATTAAATGGAATTTCGATGCATTTTATTTGAAATCACAATATAATTAAATTTACTTACAGATACTTAAAGGTAGGTTTACTAAGGAGGTGAGAAATAAATATACTGTAATTAAATTTAAGTAATGTATAAGTAACTTTATGTAGTGCATGAGTAGTTGTTCTTAAAATTGTGTTAATATTACTTACAGTAATTTACAGCTATCTTGCTGTTTTGTTCTGCGGTGTTAATAAGGTACTGCTCGACAGTTTGCATGTATAGAGAACACAGAGATTTTTTTCTTTTCTTTTTATTGTGAATAAAGAGTCAGTGATAATGTGGTGCTTGCAGCCAATTTTAAACTGAAGCTAAATATAACCTACTCCTGACCAGGTTATGTGTTCAGCAGATGTTACCACGGTGATCTAACCACATAAAAAGAGAGCTACCTTCATGATAGCTAACCCATTAGCATCACCCTGTGCTACACCCATGTAGAGAAAATTATATATTCTAAAAGAGACGTCTAGATTTAACAATTGTGTTTGTGACTTGAGTTCTGACTCTAAGAGGGGAAACATGCCTCACAATTTGAAAAACTTCAGGTGTACAGAATGTGTGTGCTAGGACTAATATGTGTTTGTTTTCATTACCTTTCAGTGTTTAACCAAGGAGAAGAAGGCACATCATGGTACATCATCCTGAAGGGCTCCGTTAATGTGGTTATCTATGGAAAGGTGCGTGGGTGCGCTTGAAAGGCTTCCATCCATCTACCTGCTTATGTTCTTTAGTTTGATACTTTAGCGTTGTTCTAGTTTTCTGCTTCATTTGATGATATTCAGTCTGAATGTAATGGAGCAAAATATGTAGCTCATCAGATCTGCAAAGAGCCGAGCCGTTTTGTGCTCCCTGTAGGTCTGGGAAACACCAGCAGTGAGTTTGGCAAACTGTGCATAGCTCATCGTGACTCATCACTGTGATTAACTGGCTTAGGGGATTGTACTCATACACCACACAACCAGTGTACAGGCAAATACGCTGCACGTGGATTGATCACGCATGTACAGAATACAAAGATGATTCAGAAAGTTACTCGTCCTTCCTGATATTTTTCTTCAGATCTTAAGCTTGTAAACTGAACATGTGTCTGAGCAAGTTGTGTGTTCATCTGTGTGTGTCAGGGTGTGGTGTGTACACTTCACGAGGGTGATGACTTTGGAAAGTTGGCCCTGGTTACAGATTCACCTCGGGCTGCATCCATCGTCCTGAGAGAGGACAACTGTCACTTCCTGCGTGTGGATAAGGAAGACTTCAACAGGATACTCAGGGTAGGCAGACAGTTATCCCTGATCTGATCGAAGATCAGTGAAGAAAAAATGGTGGAAACATTTAGTTATTAAAGCCAGCATCTGCTTTCCTCCTTCCCAATGACTATGAATAAAGAACTGATGCAAGGCAGTGGTACACATGTGTACTTATTTCACATAGTAACCCTTTGTTTAAAACTGTGTCTGTATTATCAGGATCTGAAAATAGGGGAGGGAAAATATGCATCATCCTCTGAAGCTGTGTAAAGCAATAATGTCTCATAATGCTTTAATCGCTCATGACGCCGCCGCCCCTGTGATGTTTGTCTCCCTCCTCTGACAGATGAATGGTACTGCACTCATTTTGAACTATTCTATTCCGCAGGATGTGGAAGCTAACACAGTGCGTTTGAAAGAGCACGATCACCCTGTGCTGGTGTTAGAAAAGAGTCCTCGAGCCTCCACACTGGGAAACATAAAGTATGTGTTTGGGTGTATACACACTGTACCTAAAAGTACTTTAAAACTGTGTTTGCAGTATATGTGTATCTCTCTCTATTTTATTAAAAATGTTTGGGTTTTTATGTGGTCCTTGGTGACCTTGGCAGGTACACTGTGATATCAGGAACTCCAGAGAAGATTCTTGAGCACTTCTTGGAGACGATGCGGATGGACATACATCACAGTGACCCAGGTAGCAGAGCTGAATCATCAGATTAATTTGGGATCGTATGCTGTCAGGATAGTAAATTGCAGGATACTCATAAACTATAGCATAAATTATGAATTATTGAAGAGTGTCTTTTATTAAAAAATGTTACTAATGTGAACTTTAAAACAAGAAATTGATAATTCAGTATTTTCTTTACTGTAAAACACGATATTAAATAGGATATTCTGCTGTGGTTTGAAAAGGTTTGCTGCAGAAAAACAGCATTAAAACAAATTTCAGGGGTTTACATGAGTCTGGGTTAGACTCTGGATTAGGACTATCTCTTGACAGGATGAATGCATTAAAGATTAAATATCTGCTCGTTTCTTGCTACTGACTCTGCTTCTTCTCGTGTGTCAGACCCAGCAGTGGATGATTTTGTCCTCATGCACTGTGTCTTCATGCCCAACAGCCAGCTGTGCCCTCTGCTCCTGTCACAATATCCTTTTTGTCTTTAAATTCTTTATTTCCTTCCTGCTGTATCTAAACTGTGCGTTTCAAAAAAATAAAAACAAACAAGTCTCATGTCGGGTGCATAACCCTGGTTTTCTTCACGGTTTGCTGCGTAATGTAACAACACTTCCGGCGCCATTTTTAGATTGTGAAACATCAGTTTCTGCTTGTGGAAGTGCTGAAGCAGCAGTTGAGCAGCTGTTCCCGTCACACCTTAGTAACAAGTTGTAATCCCAGTTGCACAGGTATTTCTTCCCTAAGCTGTTGTAATGTAAGTTTAGCACTGTGCAGTTAACGCAATACATCCCATGCTTTATTCTTTTTTTTTTAACATAATGAATGATCTCAAAACTCACTTTATTTTAACTAAAGCTGCTTGAAAGGTACATTTTTAATTGAGGATAAATGGAGACATAGATGTAGGTATGCATATACCTGTGTTTATTTACTTTAATGGTTCAACGCTTTTCTATTTACCTTTAACCTTGTGCGCACGTACCATGTGACATCGCCGCCTGGCTCTGAACAGGAGAGGTTGGAGTATGCACTCAACAGTAAAAGGAGGGCCCTGATTATGACCCTGCGCTGGGCAAACGCACATGCCTACCTGCTACAAGAGGAACCTGCTGCGATCTTTTTCCTGGAGGTGAGCACATTGAGCCTTTCAAATGTAGGAAATCACACAGATCCTCTGCATAGTCTGAGTGGTTCTTCCTCTCTGTCTCCGTAGGAGTTGTATGGAAGTCTATCCAATGACTCCCGTATGCTGAGAGCTTTGAAAGATTTGGTACCTGACCTGGAGAAAGTCGTCAAATTGCAGTATGTTTCTGTGGGCTGAACATTTATTGTCATTGCTTTATGCACACGACAAATTCATTGTATCACTTTAATTTTTTTTCTTTAGCTCCGAAGAGGCCAAAGCAACAAAAAAGGTACATCTGTTATATAACTTTCGATAAAATTTTACAGTCCACTTCACATGTCGGCTTCATCTGTAGTTATCTGGATGCTGTCTTATAATTTATTCAACAGAAGACCCTAATACGACAGTTCAGCAACGGAGAGGAAAGGCTGCAGAAGAAACAGCCAATTAGAAATCAAGATGACAGTAAGTTCTGTGCATTTGTGTGATTTATGTATTTTTCTTCTTACTCATATTGAACCTGAAGGAAAAAGACATTTTGACAGCAGTTTGCCTTGGAATGTGCTATTTAAAGTGGATTTTCCAATTTTCATAAGACAGATTAGATAAGAATATTCCCTTACCCTGCCTGTCATCCTGTCACTTGTGTTTGCACAAAAGGTGTGACAAAATCTTACGGATAGGTTGGCAGCATAGATCCACAACACGATTATTTTCCGGTCATTCATGTGTGTGACAGCTGGCTGAGGCAGAGAAAGACCCCAGTCATCTCTCTAACAGAGATCCAAGGGCTAACTTTAAAAAAATATAAACTTTTGATTTGATTGAAATGAGCCGGCTTTCATATTTGAATGATTCAGTCTGTGACTACAAAAAGGCAAAACCTTCAGTGAGCTTTGTGAGCTTCCTGCTTCTTCATGTTGGAAGCAGCTCTTTGTCATCACAGATCAGGAGCTGTCACATACCATATCACTGTATTAATTTCACGTGTGCGTGTGCAGTCCTATTGAAGGTGTACTGCAGCGATCACACCTACACTACAATCAGGATTCCCGTGGTGGCGACGGGACGAGAAGTGATCAGTGCCGTGACGGACAAGCTTGGCACTACCGATGAGCTCCTGCTGGTCCACCTCAGCTCTGCGGGTGGTAAGAAAACAGATCATCTTAAACGTGGAGAGGCATTAACTTGCAGCATCATCTACTCGTAGATTATCTTGTGTACCTTTTTAAGAATTTGCACGTGATGGTGTCTTATGTGGCTGTGAAAGCGAATCTGTCCCGATTTTTGTTACAGAAAAACAAATCTTGAAGCCAAATGATGTATCGGTGTTTTCTACTTTGAGCATCAATGGGAGATTATTTGCCTGTCCTCGAGAGCAGCTCAACAGTCTAGTAAGAGAGTAATGTTATGAACTATGCTGTTATTAAACTGCATTACCACCTAGAATTAAATCTTTTTGCAAATATATATAGAAGATACGAGAAATACACTTAGTACTTAGTAAAAAGTGGCCTCGAAGCAAGAAGATATTAGTTTTATATGCTGAGGGAAAACAATGAAACTGTGTTGGTTTTTGTGCACTTCAAGACTCCTCTTCCAGACCAGGAAGGGCCCACTGCAGGCTCCATGTCAACTTTTGAGCTGATGAGCTCCAAGGACTTGGCTTATCAAATGACGATGTTTGACTGGGAGCTCTTCAGCTGTGTTCATGAGGTATCCTGCTCACCTTTGTCCACATTAAGTGTTGCAAAGACTTTTGTTTTAGAGTCAGAGTCAATTCATTTTCAGCAGTTTTGCTTTTTCACAGACTGTTGTTAAACTGGCAGGATCTCTCACCTCTCAACCTGCTCTTCTTCTTGTTTCCCCTGTCTTCTTCCACAGCATGAGCTGCTCTACCACACGTTTGGCTGCCAAAGTTTTAAACGAACTACGGCTAATCTAGACTTGTTCCTGAGGAGGTTCAACCAGGTCCAGCTGTGGGTCGTCACTGAAGTCTGCCTCTGCGGACAGCTCAGCAAGAGAGTCCAGCTCCTCAAGAAGTTCATCAAGATAGCGGCACAGTGAGTAGGATGTGACTGTTAATGGGACGCACATCACTAAGTGAAGTATTTCTAGCTAACAGTAGAGGAAGCTGAGCTGGATGTTGTTGGTTTTCACTTTGGTTTCTGCTTGTGTGTGTCTGTCTGCAGCTGTCGAGAATTTAAGAACCTCAATTCATTCTTTGCCATCATCATGGGGATGAGCAACCCTGCTGTGAGCAGAATGAGCCAGACGTGGGAGGTAAACTTTATTGAAAAACTGAATAATCGGTGGACAGTTATGCTGTGAACCAGATCTGCATGTTGCTGTTGCTTAAATCCTCGATTCACTGAGATGCCATCTGCTTTTCCTGACAGAAACTTCCCACCAAGTTTAAGAAGTTCTATGCTGAGTTTGAGAACATGATGGTGAGTTTCAGTTTCAGGTCTATTGAAATTCATTGTGCATAAACTTTTAGCTGTATTCAACCTTCTTCTGGAAATATTTTTTTTCTTTGTAAATGTCTCTGGTTTTCAGTGATGAGTATTACAAACAAAATTAGGTTCAAACCTGTTGTCTTGGTGACAGATGCACAAAATAATGGAGGGAAAATCAACTGCATGGCTGTTCACTCACCAGCCATTTCATTAGGTACACCTTACTAATACCAGGTTGGACAACCTTTTGCCTTCAGAAAGGCTTTCATTCTTTTTGCCACAGATTCAACAAGATGCTGAAAACATTCCTCAGAGATTTGGGTCCATGTTGATATGACAGCAACACACAGAAGATTTGTACGCTTCACATCCATGTTGTGAATCTCCCCTTCCACCACATCCCAAAGGTGCTCCATTGCACTGAGATCTGGGGAATCTGGAAATCATTTTTTCCAGTTTCATCATTTGAGCTTTCTGATGTGACTTGGTATCCCTGCTGGAAGCAGTCGTCCCTTTAAGTGGTCATAAAAGGATATACATTGTCAGAAACAGTATTCATGTATGCTGTGACATTTAGATTAGATTAGATAGAACTTTATTAATCCCTCGGGTGGGTTCCTCTGGGAAATTCGATTTCCAAAAAAGCACAGCACCGACAGAAGTTACAGAGTTACAGAATATTTTATATATATATATACACACACACACACATATATAATAATATATAATATATGAATATATATACAGAGTTACATATATATATATATATCATATATATATAATACACACACACACACACACACACACACACACACACACACACACACACACACACACACACACATATATATAAATACAGAGACAATATAAATAAAATATACCAAGGGGATAAATAGAATAAATAGGAATAAAAAATAAAAATACAAGTGAATTGCACATTTCAATACTTGAAATGTGCAATGTGATATTTCAATATTTCACATTGAAATGTGAAATATTGAAATGATGCTCAGTTGGTGTTACGGAACCCATGATTCATGATTTTATGTTTTTTATGCTGAATTCTGACTAGCATCCTAGAAGTCCTAGAAGGAAGTTTGTGTAGTTTGTGAAATACTCAGATGAGCCTGTATGGCACCATCAACTATACTACTATATCACTTAAATAACCCTTCTTCCTCATTCTGATTCTTGGTTTCAGTTTCAGCAAGTTGTCTTGACCATGTTATCATGCCTAAATGCATGAAGTTGCTGCCATGTGATTGACCAATCAGATATTTGCTTCAATGGGCAGTTAAAAGGCATACCTAATAAGTGGCTGGTGGCATAACAGTATGTGTTTTAAAGAAAAAAACTTGATCTATAAATGTATCTAACACCAGAAACTTGTTTGGCAATAGGACCCATCAAGGAACCACCGGTCCTACCGACTTACTGTTACCAAACTGGAACCACCGATTATCCCCTTTGTGCCACTTCTTCTAAAAGGTATGACTCAGTACAGGGCTTTACAGGGCTTTAGGAAGTACTTAAAGATGGACGATTTGGGTTGTGCTTCATTTTAACCTATTTCTTTACAGATATGACATTTACACATGAGGGCAACAAGACATTCATTGACAACATGGTCAATTTTGAGAAAATGGTGAGTTCCTTTTCACAGAAAGAAGAGAGAGCATGTTTTATGCATGCAGTTTTCTTAGTGCCGTGTTGTTCTTCATTCATGTTTGCACAGTATCTAAAGCCGTTTTCTGTTTGTTCCGTCAGCGTATTATAGCAAACACAATTCGACAAGTGAGACACTGTAGAAGCCAGCCATTCAGTAAGTCTGCTTATTATTCATGAGCACACTTTTATCCTCTAATCTGTTGGCCTTGCAGACAGACTGTAAACAATCTTTCCCGTCAAATTTTTTTTGTCTGCTTTATCTCTGCCTAATGTTAGATCCTGACATTTGCCAGCCGAACAAGAATCAAGCGGAGGTCCGGGGTTACGTTAGGAAGCTCTGCGTGATTGACAACCAGAGGGCGCTGACGCAGCTCTCCTACCGGCTGGAGCCTCGGCGGACATGAGCTCCAGATCCTCCACCACGACGCCTTCTCTGTGATGTTAGCATAAAAAAACCGATATAAAATAAATCAACACAACAGTAGCAAATCGCAGCATTCAGTGACTTTAGTGTTATTATGGACTATTAAGGACTGTGCCGTGAAAAGCCTCTTCTCCCTGGACAAACAGAAGCTGTTCAGCTGCTCTCTTGTCGCCGTGTCTCAGTCAACAGGCTGAGGGTTCATATCGTACTAATTATTACTGTTTGGGACCTGTTAGATAGAACTGTAATGTATAGAACTTGAATCAATATCCTGCATGACTGAAATTCGTAGACCTTGTGTTCTATACAGTGGATTTCTATCAGAGTGTCCTGTAATGTCGTGCTACCCCAAATGAGCCCTAGTTTACAATAAAGTACTGTACCTGCCTGTAGAGGAAATCGTTCTATCCTGATGATCCCACTCATAGACGCAAAACAGGAAACCCCACAAATTGTAGTGATCGAGACTCTTTGTTTACCCTGGTCAATATTAAATCTCAAAGAGCATACTTACTTTATAATCTAAATAAGTCTATAAGGACCTTTGAAAATCTGTAGGATTTGATGTCCTTTAGGTAAATATCAGTGTCCATTAATTAGTTAGACACTTTAAACCTACTTAACAGAGTATTAGTCAGATTAAATTCTTAATGGTATTACCGGCAGTGTTCAAATGGGTCACTGTAGTATTTATTGTGAGTTTTATTTGGAATTAGGGTGCAGCCAAGCGTATAAACCATCCCGGATATGTTCTGCTGTCAGTTGCAATGTCTTAGATTTGGACTGACTGCAGCTACAGAGTCTAACTTACACTTTGAGGGGAAAATCTTGTCATCTCTACCAGTTGTGTTCAATCCATGTAATTTTATTTTTGTATATGTGCGTGTAGATTTTGAGTGCGTTCTTTACAAGTGTCATTAATTTTGCTTTGATCTCAGGAGCTTTTGCTGTGCTGGTGTGTGTTGAGAACTGCAGCGAGGCTGCCTTTTCCCAAAGCAGCCTCTAACTGTACTCTGTGTAGTCTGCCTTGTAAATAAAAAATAGCTAATTTAACAGTTCTAATGGTTTGGTAACCTTCTTGAGACTGTGATATTTCAGTGCGTGTGGTGGAGCTGAAGGGATGACGTTGGAAAATCTGTTGTGCAAAGAATATCCAGGAAAAATCAAAAATATTTCAGCCGCCACTGGAGAAGCCCGCCGCCGAGCTTTTTGACTTCAGTTGACGTCTGAAGGCAGGTACGGCAACACATGAGGCCTGAAAAACTAAAATGTGACAAAGACTGGCATTTGCTTACATGTGACCTCTGTGAAAGACAGGAAGTGGGAGGCACTAGAGTGGGAACTGCTCAGTGTTGTCTGGACTTGAAAAGAGCTGATCCTAGGAATACTACAAATGAGATAAACTGTAGTGTAAAGAGTGGAGATTTCATCCACTTCCTAGGAATGATAGAGAGGAAAAGGTGAAGAGGTCAAAACACTTGCAACACTTGTAGGATAGAGGACAATGTTATTGCCAGGCCAGTGCATTTTGATTTGTACCACTGAGCTTTTCTCTACACTAAAACTGCAAACTGAGTTGCCAGACAGGAGGGTACTCTGACACCAGGATGTTGCAGGACTTTGTCTTTTTGAATGTCATTGCTGTAAATTCTGTTGAGGCCTGTGTACAGTGGGTTATAGCTTTAAACGTTTCCCCTTGAATGGGTCACTTCTGAATATTAGAAACAGAAAACAAGCAACGCTGAGCACAGTATTGAATGAGCAGTGACAGGGATTCTTATGGATCCCAGACTTTTTATATTCACCAACCTTTCATCCAAAAATGAACTCCAATGAAATACTGTGTCTTTAAGTTTCTACACTGAAACCGCATGGCGGCGAATAACGTTTGCATCACAATTTCCATTCGCCATCTGTATTTGTAAACTCATTTTTAGCTGTAAATTTGTATCTCTTTAAGCAGCCGGTCTCTTGGGATGTTGTTTATTTTATACAGTGCATTTGTACTACATGTTGTCATGATTCACTATGGCTTCTAAGAGCCGCTGGCAGTGTTTGTCGTGTTTTATTTATTCAGTGAATCATCACGAAGTCCACATTTGTACTCGATTACAGTCAACAAGTGACAAGTGTCCCTAACTTCCCATGGCTGATCTCACCTGTCCCTGCACGGTGATGTCAGCACAGCTATCCTGCTTGTTGATGTCAGTCGGTCATTCCTGTCTGGTTGAGTAACACGCCGGCCTTGCCTGGCTTCTCTGGTGAGTGTGTGTTTTTAACTGCAGAGAGTGTGAGCGGATAGATTTAGGTGCATATGTGGCAGCAACAACCTTGTTGCTAAATGATTTACACTATGTCAGACGCGCTTATAAGCCAGAGCTGTATGTGTGTGTGCATTCAGCGCTTTATATAGCCACAGTTATCCAGGAAGAAGGAATGCCCGGGATGCCAATGACCATATTTGAACTGTGTGTCTGCTGCAGACAGACGGCACACACTGACTGCAAACCGTAACTTGCACACAGTCAACGCTCACTTCTCCCTCATCTTCAAGGTTGTGTATGTGTGTGTGTGTGTGTGTGTGTGTGTTTGTGTGCTCTGTGTTGTAGTTACACTGGATCACCACTATCAGGCAATGTAATACCTTGTCTGGTAGTGACAGTTGACTTTTCCTCACTCACAGGGAGCAAACTTCTCTCTCTCTCGCTCTCTCTTTCCAGCACTTTCTGGTTTCTTCTCCCTGACAATCTGCTCTGCTGACCGACAACATCCACTCTGGCCCTGTGGAGGAAACTACTTGCCTTCTCTTTTGTGTTGTTCTCCTTCACTTGCTCTCAGCTCATCCGTGACTTGTATACCTTCGGGATAGCGGTTAGGTAGTTGGGCAGTCACACTTTATTGCTGCGCGCGCGTGTGTGTGTGTTTGAGTGCGCGGGAGTCAGTCAGTATGCCATGTCGTCCCCTGGCTCGTCGTTTGTGCAGATAAAGCATGAGGACTTGCTCTTCTACGAGAACTGTGGTGGAGGCAGCTTTGGGAGTGTCTACAGAGCTCTCTGGATATCCCAGGACAAGGAAGTGGCTGTGAAGAAGCTTCTGAAGATCGACAAAGAGGTAAAGTGGAGACACACACAGACGTAGACCAATCACACAATGTACAGTAGTCATTAGGTATTTCCTCTCCTTCGTGGGACGTTACTGCTCAAAACTTCAAAAACGGTTACTTTCCACTCAATACCCAGATTTGGATCCAAAGCCCCCTCATTCCCCCACCTCCCCCTCCCTTGTTGTCTGCCATTGTACATGTGTTTATCTTAAACATACCGCTTCTCATGCCCCCTCCTCCTCCTCCCACTCTTTGTAGATATAGCAGTTTTATTTATGCCTGGACTCCCCTGTTCCTCCCATTGTATGTTAGGGTGAGGTGAGTAGTACCTCGAGGCTTAATTCACTTCAGTTCAGGCCTGGGTGTGAGTCTCCACGAGTATGAGGGGGGCTGCATGATTTCCTTCCATGTTAATGATCCCGGGCTGGTAAAGGCTAATGGGTCTGTGTCAGGAAGCTGAAGTTGGGGCCTGTGGGTGTATTCATTCACAGTGTCAGATTTTATATAATACAAAAGCAAGTGCACACATGCATTATAGAGAAATAAAAGGTGGTGTCACAAGTGGGCCAACTTCATAAGATTACACAGGGAAGAAATTTTGTCGGTTGAGCGACTTCTCTGACACACAAAAATACACAGAGGGTGGGCATGCATGCATAAAGCTGTCTGCATAGTTCATGTGTAAATACAAGTTGATGGATAATGTGAGAAGTGCAGCTTCATGTGGAGCCTTCATGCATCGTTTTCCTGCACAAACTGATAGCCTTACAACAATAGATGAGAGTAAACCCAGAATGATGAATTTCTCTTTGGAAAAAAAAATATTTAGAGAGAAAATATTTTGCTCAATGCTCGATTGGAGTTTACGTGTAAATCCATTTCACTGTTAGTTTATTATGTTGCTTGGCAAAAGTTACATATTCCACACATGCAAAGATGATGATTGAGATGTTATTTCAGATTTATGGCCTGTTTACTGCTGCAGGGTGGAGAGTTTTTGTTTGGATAACTTGTGGAATGGAATAAGCTCAGGAATCCCGGAGACGCAATCAGGATTAACTTTAAAATTGGTTTTAACATTTAAGTTAGCCTAACATTCTGTGATTAATGATTATTAAAAGAGTTATTAAAAGATTAAAAGAGTCCTGTACTGTAAAACTTAAGTTAATGAAGGTGATCATACTTCTCTGCTTCTCTTTTTCTTGACCCCTCATCCAGGCTGAGATTCTCAGTGTACTGAGTCATAAGAACATCATTCAGTTTTATGGAGCCGTGCTGGAATCTCCCAACTATGGCATTGTCACAGGTCAGACTCGGAGTGTGTGTATGAGTGTGTTTTTGAAATATACACTTTCAGATGTTTTTGTCAGTGTAGTTTAATGCTTAAATTTAGACGAGATGCACAAAATGAAATGTGTGTGACTATCCTTGGGGTTCAGGTGTAATATAAGTATGAAGTCATTATCAGGTCAAGGTCTGAGGTAAGTCGTAAAAGCTACAGAATACAGTCAGGGCACACTGTGGTGCCATCTAAACCTGCACGTGTATGCGTGTGTGTGTATATTGGTTTAATTGGTGCGTATTTGATCCGAGGCGGAGAAAGTTACACACGCGCTAACACATGCTCTGATGGCCGGCAAGTGTTTATGTGTGTATGGTGAAATATCAGAACATACTTTGAACACTGGTTCTTGCGGTGATTCTTGGCAGGACATTTGTAACTGAGACCAGCATGTTTGGATGTGGTTGTAATCCCGGCTGGGTTTATATGGTATAGATAAAGCACTGAAACACCACCAGCAATGTTTCTTGATGCCTAATGCTTACTGATATATCAAAAGTAAAGCAGGTATCAACACATTTTGGTCTCTGTGTGCAGATGAAAACATTCAGGCATTCATTTCTATTTTCACAAGGCTACAAAGGCTTGTGCTCTACTTTCTGTCTTTGATCTGACATTAAGTAGCAAAATGGAAAAATTCTCACAGATTTTGGATTTAAAAGTCAGGGCAGGATATGAAGGTTGAAGGCGTTTCTGATGATTTGAGGCAGCTTCTCACTGTGTATGATTTGTGCACTGCTTAACAGTGGGCTGTAGCTCTCACACATTGTAACGTAAAACTTCAAGTACCAAGTTTGTTTCACTTGTTTAAATAGCAGTGAATGGTTTTGAAGGTGCTGTAATAGACACTTCTGTAGACTTTATTATTTAAAATAGTGGTTGTTGCTGATGAGATTAATGGAGGCTCTGTTTTACACTGGTGCAGAGCTATAATCTTTCTTACTAATAACTCTTGTGGCTCTTTTCAAGATACTTTAGCAAAAATAAGGAAATAATTGATTATTTAACAAATAAAGACATCAGTAAATAAATAAGCCAAGCATAGTGTGTGGCAGGTATTTAGGTATTAATTCATTTTTAAATACATTTATATATTAATATTATTATATTAGACCTTTGAACGAGGAAGGTTCAGGCAGCCATTTCTGAGTTAAACTCCATGACACACTGTGAATGAGGCACACGGTTATAGGATGAACTGGATTTATATTTCTGTGGTGAATCTTTGTCCAGTCTACAAATATAACAAAGATAAATAAATGTTGCCGTTACCAACATTCATGCTTTTGTGTTGTGTTTGATCTGAAGTTTTATTTTATTGAAGATGAGATGATCTGGGTCATTTTGAACTCTCAGTGATACCATGGTGTTTGTTTGAGTTTGGGAAGTGAAGAAGTGTTTGGATCTGGAAATAGTTAATGACTTCTGACTTAAGAGGCAGAAGGTTGCGGGCTCTCGATGTGATGTGTAGCTACACTTCTACAGAGGCGCACATCAGTTTACAGCATAGGTTACATTGTTGGGTTTCAGAGGGATTTGTAGTTACAAAGTACCTACGGCATAGATTTAACACAGAATAACTCTGCGGCTAATCCTTAGCAGCTGCATGAAGCCATCATGTCAATATG